CCTTAGCAAAGCGCATCCCAGGCTGCATAGCCGCACTACCCTACCCAACCATACCACACATAAACATGACACTACCCCCGGGGTTTACACAGACGAGCCGGCGAAGCAAGAAGAGCGCCAGAAGAAAGGGCCCTAGCCGGCGGGGCCCAGCCAGGACAAAAGGAGGTCCCACAAAGCGCCTACACCGGCCGCATTTGCGGTCGGGGTAGACGACGGATGGGGCCCACCTACGAAGGCTGTCCAGGCCTACACGAGATGAGGCAGGATAAAGAGGGATAATCCCCCTCGATCCCAAATCATTGAGGCCAATTTCTAGCCATAGAATAATGGCGACTTCATATTACTTAAAACGAATACGCCTAACACTGTTTTTCCGGTTTTCCCACATAACGAGTAACAACCTCAGACTTTATGTATTACTCTTACGAGGTATGTGCTCTGAGGTATCAACTAACAACGACATAACCCTAGACCCTAGGTCCTAGATAAATGATACTGGACATAACCTCAGTATGTATGTAAGATGTATGTAAATTTTGTGGTGTTGGTTGGACTATAGCTCTTGGGTGTCTGGCGTATCTCCGTCAAAATTGAATATAAAAATCTGAAAATTTAGGGGTGTACTATAGATGGGAAGAGACCTAAGAAGGCACGTAATTTCAACTCACCCCTTCCACCCTACGGGGTGCGGAGGGGGTAAGGGGTGTTCTCTGAATTCTTTAATTAAATTTTCAACTAATTCTTTATTTAACCTAAAAAGCTTTATAAATTTTTCATTTGACAATTCAAATGAATTACTGGTATCCCTAATGCGCCGATATTCTAACCTCGGTCTGTATATAAAAATTAACATTTTTAAACAAATACTTATATACAACTGAAAACTTACTGATTGTGAACATTTTCTGCTACTTGCATAAAATTGACATAAAAATTAATCCCAATTGGGTCCATTGTCCACTTTACAACAAACGCTACTGGAAACTATTTACAAATAAGTAAATATTTAAATACTTTCCATACTGAAAACATGAAATATATCTTGCTACAGCCATAGCAACCACTAAAATGTGGTTGTTATGATAGCAATTCTTTTGAACAATAAATTGTTAAACTGACAGATGAAATGGTTGTGAAAGGTGAAACAGAATACACATATGAACAAAAATTGCTTATCAACAATACATCTTTAAAAAAACGCTTAACCATTCCTTGCAATTTGTAAACAGAATCGACCCGAATATATGTTTTGTGGGAACAACGTTGTTGATTTTTGGCGTCCTTCTATTATTTATGTTGGCGTCATTGTTCAGATTTGGAGTACAATCTGTTCAATTTCACATATAAATACAGAATTATTGTATTTGTAAACAAAATGGGTGATGACTGGGATGATGGAGCACCAGCTACTACAATTTCTGTTGTAAGTAATATTAAAAACGTTGTAATTTTTTTTTAAAGTTTTACTTTTATATAAGAGTTGCTCATATAGCTGCTTAGGGTGGACGAAAATTTGCAGAAGTTTTAAAGCGGTAGAAGCAAAAGATTATTGGGGCTCTGGAGCAGCTACAACTAATGATTCTGATAGTGGCTGGAATGATGCTCCATCTGATAACTTTAATAATAAGTCACAATAACCAAGGTAGTAGAGGAGGTCGTGGAGGTAGAGGAGGACGTGGAGGTAGAGGAGGACATGGAGGTATATATATTTTTTCCTATCAAATAATACATATATTATGCACTTATCCTTCCACTATTGAGTTATGAAGTCGTTTTATAATCCATGCCACGGAATTAATTGTAATAATGAAGAAATGAAAGAATTTTTAAATAATATGTACAGATTTGTTTATGTTATCGGCTGATAAGAGTAATACAACCGTAATTATATACAAAAATTAATATAATGATAAAATAATGACATTATTAAATGATAATACAACTTATAAACAAGAAAAAATTGATCCAACTTTAAAAATTGAAAATAAAATAAATAAATTTATTAATTCATGGTTTAACAAAAAAAATTTATTGACCTTAAAACAAAAAATTATCTTACCTGTTCAAATGAAAAGCCCCATTTTTATATGGTCTACCTAAATTACATAAAGAGAATAATCCTCTTAGACCAATTATTAGTAACATTTCAGGCCCAATCAATTTATCAAAATTTTTGTCAAATACTATTTCAAATATTTTAGGAAAAAATGAAAATTACATTAAAGACTCCTGGCAATTTTGTGAATTTATTAAAAAAACAAATTGTTCCTCAAGATCATGTTATTATTTCACTGCATGTTAAATCTTTTTATACAAATATTCCCATTGAATTAGCTATAAAACATATTAAAAAAAAACTCAAATAAAAAAAATGTCTATTAAGGTTCTCTACAAATCATAATCATCAATCATTTCATAATTTTACAAACTGCTAATTTGCATCAAAACAGTAATAGTAGGGGAGCCCACAATGCTAAACGGGGATTTACTCGAGCGTCGTAGGGACCTATTGGATTTTGAAGATTAGATGGTAGAAAGAAAAAAAGGTTATATGATGTATGTATATTCTTTCACCGGTGGGGGGAGTGCCTACAGGCTTTCAAAAATGTAAAAAAAACAGTCACATGGAAATACTCGAAAGCGTCAGATATTGATAGTGTGTTAAAAATGGGCAAAAAAAATTTTTCTCGAGCGCGTCATATATTCAGAGGGGATGTTAAGTGAACTCAAATGAAGCTCCCATTAAAAAGACTGACGATTCGGATGTGACACAAACTCGTGGCAGCCTTTTGAAAATGCAAAAAAATCGCCATTTTGAAATACTCGAGCGCATCAGATTTTCATAGATGGTTCAGCTTGATGCCCTAGTTGTGCTGATCCATAATCTGACGATTATTTGGAGGGACTGAATGTGACAAATATAAATAGCACGAGTAATTGTTTTTTGGCGGTGGACAGTTGTGATGTATAACCTTAATAAAAATAAAACTAATAATAAAAATTTGGTCGTAAATTTGAAATTCTTAAAAATTATTGGTTGGCTAGAAAGCCATTGAATTTAGAAACTTTTTTGTTTCTTTATACGATTGTAGTAAAACGCAATGGTTTTGAGGAATATGGCGAATCACGATATGCATTCGATCACATTTTGCCATTTTTCTCGAAAACATTGCGTTTTACGAAAAAAGTATCAAGAGACAAAAATGTTTCTAAATTTAATGGCTTTCTAGTGGACTAATAATTTTTAAAAACGACCAATTTTTTTTGGCTCCAAAGACAAGGAGGCCCACGAAAAATTGTCTTATGGGCGTTTCCTGTCAAAAAGCGGAGCAGCATCAGATTCCACATATCACAACGATTTTTGTTACTTCGGCTTGTGGAAATCGGCAGATTATATTTTTCCCGTGATCCTTGAATTATTTCCTTCAAAATAAAAAAAAAATTCGACCGCTCTCGAGAATGTCGAGGTGACGTTTTTTTTTGAGCTTCTGACTGCCTTACGTCACACTCAAATCGTCAGATTATTGGAATGCACACTTTTCAGCATGTAATTAACCCATCATACCTTAGTCTGACGCGCTCGAGTATTTCCAACTCGATTTTTTTCTTTACTATTCTGATTGGGTGCCCTACACACTCGGCCTTATATAGAGGACTTAGATATGGTGGAGGTACTCAACAGGGTGCAAGGTATCCCCCATATGTTAATCTGCTGTGCTTGAGTAAATCCCAAAATCCCCTCTTGGGCTCCCCTAATATAAAAGCTATGCACCAAAGTTGGAATATTATTTTTGTTTCCAGTAACATAAATTTTGAAAATGTGATCCACTGGTTTAAACCGAGTTAATTTTTTCACGATGTATGCCTTTTTTATCCATGTATATAAAATTTCATTCACTCACAGTGCACTTATAAAAGATAAAATGCAAGTCTTGCGTATTATACTAAACATATACTTACATGTCTATTGTTTTGTTCCGTTTTGCGTGCTATTGAAGCATTTCTTTAACGAAAATGAGTCATGGTATAGTGTTTGAACCTAAGGTAAAAAAATTGAAAGTTGTGGTATAAACAAATGGTTTATTATTATTTTTTTTTAAAAATAGTTGCGTATTTATTTCAAGATTAGAATATTCAACTTAATTAGAATATTCAACTTAATTTTTCTCCTACTGTGAAACTGGAATTGTGAAGAATCTTAGAAAGTCTGAACAGAACACTGAAAAGGATATGTTTTCTTTTATTTACAATTATAGCGTTATGAAAATTATCAATCAACAAATGAGTACACTTAAAGATATACAATTTTTAAGACTAACTTTCTTGCGGGCTTGAAACATTTTTTATAAACCATTAAGGTACGGGTCCACTGGATACCTTTGTAGCGCAACATTGTATTGCAACACACTCGCAACAGGTATTTCTTGTGTACACAACGTTGAAACGTGGTATGCAACATAAACACCGTGTAGCGCAGATACATATATTGTTGAGATACAACTGTCAGTCGGCACAGGTGTTTATATGTAGCGCAATCTGTTTCGTATGATACAAAACAGGTTTGTTTCTCCGCGAGTCTTGCGTGGATAGTATCTAGGGAATTTAAAAGTGGAGAAGTGGTCAAGAAATGAAACGCTGTCATTAATAGCCGAATATGAGGTTAGACCTGAATTATTGGATGAAAAAAATTCATTAAGTATACTATACGTTTATTAATAATATATTTAATTAAGTACAAGTATTACACACATCAACTGATTACCTTAAACAAAGTCAGTTGAAATTAAACATTAAAATATTACCTTAAAAGTATGTCCTACAAAAAAGGTGTATTGTCATAAAAAATTATGAAAAAAATAATCAAAATTTTGATAATTAAAAAAAAAACTGAAAATCATGCGCAAAAAATTTTTATAACAATCAGGATCTTCATTACGCAATTCTCTCATCAATTTACTATATGCTCCTTGCTCATTCCTTTTCGCTATCCAGTCCCTTACCTATATTTTTCTTTTGGGTTTTTGTTTTGCACGCCTTCGTTTTAAATTATGAAGAACAATAACAGCAGCAGCAATTTTATTTCGTTACATTTCACAAGACAAGCAAACCGACAGAACCACCTAGTTGAAATACAAAGATCGCAACTAGTGGACACACTTGGTGAAACATTGTATCGTGAATGTCTTCATATAATGTTGCATATACATATGTACGAGCCCTAACAACTAAATGTTGGGACAAGTTAATATTTCGGATATAATATAATGCAATGGCTTATCAAAACGACTGAATTATTTTGTTTGTACTTTTAAATACAAACATAACAATATATCCTAGATTATTTGAAAATGTTTCTATGCGTTAAAAACATCCTTTTGGTGCCAACACGAATATGTTGTCCATCACTCCCCAGTGAAACCTGGAGCATGTTTTCCAATTTTGTATTGTATCTGCCCAAGCCAGCCGAATCCTCAAACGTTACGCCATCGTCAACCTGCAGTATTAGTTTTTCAGTTTTTGTCACTTGGACATGCACTTCACAATGTGGATCCCTGTGAGTACTGTTTTTATTACTTCATTCGGATGCAGTATCTGGAACTGCATACCGTTTGAGATGGGATTTCCTCAACTCTTTGAAGCCGCACCTATAAATTGAATATTGTTACTTATTTACTATTGCCGAATATTTATAGAGATACTCACCTATGCAGTTTGATTTTATATTTTTAGAGATATACTTACCTATGTTGAACCCTATACGATAAAATTTAATTAAATTGATTTATGTAAACTCCATATGCAGCTGTCTATCGAGGACGTTTTATATTTCAATAATGGCCTGAACCTATAATAGGTCACCTATGAATTTTAGTTTACATAAGTTAAGCTTTCACCTTTTCAATTTTAAATATCTATAAAATGTTATAATCATTGGGAAATTTATTATAAAAATCTTATATATTAATACTTACCTATAAACATTTCGATAATTATTTTTTTGTAAAAATTTTGTCAATTCTGTTCGACTTGCTAATTTGATTGCGTTTGTTTGGTGAATTTAAAGGTTTCCATAGTTTTAATTAATTAATTGTTTGTTATCATTTCATTAAATTATTATTCGGGTTTTATCGACTTTATACACTTTACTCATTAAATTAATTTAATACCTATTTTGAGTTTGGTTGGTCTGTTCTTGTCTTTTCCCCCTTCTGTCGCTTAGGCGGCTTGCACCCAAGTAGTTCTGGTCGCATAAATAAATAAATATTAAAAAAAGGTAACAATAAAGACAATAAGCAACTCACACCCAGCCCCGACTATAAGAGAAGCCGGGACAGTGCCCAATTTCTTTATCTAATAAAGTTAAGGTGACACATCTTCAGTGTACTTGTTCCTTTATCTAAATTTTTTATTTATATTTCTATGATTATTAAATTATCGAACACTGTCAGTGTCGTTAGACTCTGTGAAATCCATCTAATTATTTAAATTATTACCACCAAGCATTAAAATAAAACATTATTAGAGTTTTATTCCCGTGTCCATAGTTATATCTAGGCTTCTCGGGTGCTCAAAATTCAAACAAATTCCGATCTTTTTTTTTTTCAGGATATTCACATGCATCTGACATGCTCTTTCACAGTTGCGGTTACAGATATAATAAATTCCGATAATATAACGCTGAACTTCATTTTCAACCTT